GTTTGAATGAGAGAAACACAATAAGTACTTATGATATCGTATATGAAACTTGAAATCCGTGCACGTGCGTACTTACATATCTGTTTTCTAAGGTAATGATCATTCTTAAAGATATAATTAATAATTACAAAAGTAAATCAATAAACTTATTGTCGCGTTGATTTAAAGTAGTGAAATTGACTTGTGATTATTCGCTCAACATGCAATTCTGAATCGTCATCATATCTATTTATAAAATTTATGATAAATTGATTAATTAATATTAACATCTTATATAATTACTGTTTGTTAAATTTCAATATATACAAAATTAATAGTTATATACAAATTATAAATTATATATACAAAATTAAATAGTTTGTTATTATAAAATTTTTATTATTATAATATTTAATAGTTTTAATATTAATTTAAAAAAAAAAGTATTCTCATTTACTGATATAATAATTTATGATGATATTATAAAGAAAAAATATTCTTATTTGCCGATATAATGGTTTGAATATAATTATTTGTGAAAGATATTCTACTATTGTTTTTTCTTTGATTAACATTAATTTAATATTTTTTATCTATATTTATTTTTTCATTCTGCTTGAGATATATTAAAATAATAAATATTATAAAAAATATTAATTTCATAAATTTATATATAAACAATTTTTTTTTTTTAAATTGATATAAATGCATGACATGATTACATTATATATACATTATTATATACATTATATATTAGTTATAACCGAAATTCAAAAATAGTTACTTATATATTATTTAAAAGAATATTGATACATTGAATTTTTATTGAGATTTCATTTTGTTATACAAGTAATATTATGATGTAATATGTGTGCATCCAGCTGAACAATTTCATTTAAGTCAGCTGTCTCTATCTAGTTTAATAAAATAAATATCGTTAATTAAATTTTAATACATGTAAAATTTTTTCATCCACAAAATCCACTTTTCAAAGATATTCCACATTTTTATAAACACTCATATATATAACAATATCGTTGTAAATAAATTATTATTTGCAAAAAGAATTAAAAATTATAATATACATATATATTACAAGAATAATATAGAAATCAATACAAAATATATCTAAACAGAATTTATTAATCATAAATTATTATAAAAAATAATTAAAAAATAATTTAAAAAATTATTAATATAAATTATTAATAGTACAATTTTAATTATTATATTCAATAGAAATTTATGTGATATTTTTTTAATTGACATATTCTCTATATGTATATAATATACATCTCTATATGTATATAATATATATCTCTATATGTATATAATATACTCTGTATATAATATACATTTTATTTTACTGAATGATATATTCATGAATGAATGATAATCAGTATATCGATATATATCAATTATAATTTTGAATTATTTAATGAACATAAAATTGTATATCCAATAATATCAGGAACAAAACTAGTCTTTATCTTCTGATAGTGTAGTATATAGTCTGGTAACCTCAATTGTATTATGATTGATAAAAATTATCGGTTAGTCAGTGATGCTATAATCGTATGACTCATTCGTTGCTCAGATGATCAATTAAATTTATTTTTTTTAATTTTCATAAAAGAACATTAAAGAAAATAATAATATTACATTTAATATTAATTTCATAAATCTATATAATATTAAATTTAATAATATTACATGTAAAATATAATATATATAATATATGTGTTATTTCAATATTACTTAATATATTTAATTTTTATATTTATTATATATTTTTATATATTATATATCATATTATTTCTTATATTTTTTAAATTTCATTTAATAAATAAATTTATATTAACAATACTATTCATATAATCATTCATATAATCAATAATATATTATTTTATATAATTTTTTTATGTTTCAAGTTTTTAACTAAATTGATTTATTGATGCAATTCTTTTATATATTTACTTCTATTTTTATATATTTATTTCTTTTTTTTCTTTACATCTTTTTAAAAAAATAAAAAAGAAGATTTTGGTGGATTTATTTATGATCAAATAAATAATTACGATGGATAATAATCCATATATTTTACAATGAATATAGTTATCTAGTGGAATTTTGCATAATTTGAAAATATATTATGTTTTAAATAGATTAAAAATATTATGTTATATTATGTTAAAAATAGATTAAAAATTATTAAAATATTAAAAATTTTCATTTTTTTTAAATATAATTTATCATATTATAAATATTTAATCTATAATATAAAATTAAAATAAAAATTATTTATATTATGATTAGATTTATAATCAGATATTTTATATATACATATATTGTATTCATATATATTACGGTTCGTAAATCAGCATGGTAGGGATGGAGAGGCAATAGCAGTAACAAGAGTAGGGATTCGATGGCAGTAGCGCGCGTCTGGCATAGACTTCAGAGTAAAATGGTGTGGATATACTAGTATCTGGAAGTGCTGAAATAAATATGTTTTTAATATTTTTATCTTATCTTAGTTGATTTTATCGCTGTGCAAATACCAAAGCAGAATATTGTTATTCGTCTTTTATGGCACGAATATTTCTCATCGAAAATTAAGAAGAAAACAATTTACAAAGATGTCAAAGAATGCGAAGAGAAAGGAGATAAGTATGATAGAAAAGTGTGAAATTCGCGTATGTGTGCCATCTTGTGCGTGAGAGTATCCGTCATCTTTAAACTATGTGCATCTCTAAACTATTTGTGTTAGTGTGTGTTTTGTAAACTTAATGAAAAGTTTTATATTGTTTTAAAGTGGAGAAAAAAAAAGATAAAAAGAAATATCATGATAATAGCAATGATCAATGGTCAGTTGGGTCTCTGACCTCACTGAACAATAAAGAGTTTACGTTTAAATAATGCTCTATGTACAAATTTAAACTGTTGTCACGCGAAATATATTCAAATCATCAAAAAATTTCGTGAATTTGCTTTGGACGCATTTCAAGGTATGTGCTCTTATTTTTTTGTACGATGCCTTTTGAGGACACTTGGGAATCAACAAGTAGCTTCGGTTGACTATAGAAAAATCAATTTAATCTAGTCCATTACATACTATAATAACATTATAAAATATTAACTTTTCAATATAATAAAAACTTCATTTAACATAACATAATAAGCTTGCCGCATAAAAATTAAGAAATCAAATATCAAATTGTTCATTTTCATTGTTTACAACAAATATAAAATAAATCAATATTGTGATTTTAATTAAATTTTTTTAAATATTATTAAATAAATAGCGAAGGAAAAAAATGTTATAACAGAAATAATGTTATTCGTATAAACAGATATAATTATGTAACAAAAATATACGGATATATAAAAACTTATTAACTTTTTGATAAATATTTACTTGTCGAAGTTGCTAATAATATATTAATCGGTTGATAGAAGTAATTAGAACATTTTTATTATTAGCTCTTATGCATATTTTTACGTATTATTTAAATCTCAAAATATTATTAATTGTAAGATCAAATTTCAAACACATTTAATCAATATAGTAATGTTTGAATATAAGAAATTACTACATTTTAAATCATTTTTATTATGTGATTTTTATTTTATTTATTAGATGTAATCATTTTTTATGTAATCAATTTTTTATATAAATTTGTCTTACAATTTACAATTTTAAAATTATAATTGTTAAAATTAAAATGGTAGTAGTTCAATCTAATACCATTACATTTATAATGAGAATTTCTTTGAAAAAATGAAACAAATAAGTGAAAAATTCATAATCAATATTTAACTAAAACTTTAGTAAATTTAAAATTAAGAATACTTTTTTAATAGTCAACTTTAGCTTACAAATTTTTACTTATTAATGTAACAAGCAGGAAGTTGCAGACGTTTATAAAATAACGAGGAATACTTATCATTTGCAGCGGAGATATCTGTTAATTTTAGAAACTCTGATGGATCTGTTGGCACGACTTTGCCATGATTCATGTTCCGTTCTTGGCTGAGCAGAGGGAACAACGAACCACTCTTCTTTGTCTGACAAGGAACGAGGAACATGGGAATCTAGCTTTAACTTGTCGATTCTTGTATCGAAACTGAGAAAGCATAGAAACTTGATGTTGAATGCTGGTTAGTGCAAAACCGGAAACTCGATGCGTTTAGTATCGGATTTCGAAGCGATGACTCATTACAATTACTGTACCGCATCAATTTTCATTGTTTTTTTTTTTATTACTGTAATTTGTGATCACGTGATTAGAAAACGACAATTCTACGCGCCAAAGTTCTTAATGATTGTTATTTCTGCGGGAACCAAAAATTTCATATTATTAATATTTATTATTTGTATTAATATCATTTAAAATGTTTGTTATTTATTAATAATTTAAATGTTCATTATAAAATAATATTTACATTAAATGTGAAATAGATGTGCAGGAAAAAATATAATATCTTAACCTAAATCTTTTTAATTATTTTATTAATCAGATCTGTTTAGTTTATTAAATATTCGTGATCTATTATGTTTTAAATATTTCTTATTTAAAACATTAACAATTAATGATCATTATAAAATAATATTTATGTTAAATGTAAAATAAATATGCAGGAAAAAATATAGCATTTTAACCTAAATCTTTTTTATTAATCAAATGCATTTAGTATGTTAATAAAAAAATAGAATTAATTAATTAATATTTGAAAATACTTAACAATTGAAAATATTGAAACTAAAAATCATATCAGAAATACTAAATATGTAATACGCGTAGAATTATTATTCCAATTATTTCCTTAATAATGTACATTCATTTTCAAATTTACATGCACAATGCGTTATATTTAAAATGTTTGAATAAATATTGTGTATTTATAAAATAATTTAAATATTTTAGGAAATATCTTATTAAAATGAAATATTTTTGAAAACGGATAAAATTATTAGAAGAAAAAGTGATTTTTTGAAAATAATGGAATCATAAATTAATTTCATTATAATTAAAACTTAAAATTTAATCAAATAAAAATTATTAAACTTCAGAAGAGATATGCATGAAGCTGATAATCAAGACCAATCAAAATTATAAAACATGATTTATTCCAACTGCTCATTGCTAATCACGTGATTCGGAAGCGGTGATTCAACTGTGCAGAAGTGCTTCGCGCTGAGTTGTCTTTATTATTTAAGTACTATCGTTAGTAGAATGTACGAAGCAAATGTTGATAGTTCTTTGAATAAGTGTGCAACTTCTCGGGATTTCAAAAATGAGGAATTGTCTTTGGATATTACGACGTATGATTAATATATTATCGTTTAGAAAAAATTCGCATGATAACATATTTCAAAGCTTTAAACAAATAGTTATGAATCTTAGAAGCAGCTTTATGAATCACTCGAGTCACTCAATTTTTATCTATCTTATTCATATTTTATTTATTTATTAAGCATTTTTTATTAATCTATTGATTAACAATTTGAATGCAATTGCATGGAAAACAAGTTTTTTCGATGAATATGAATATTTATATTTAATTTTTTTTATTAATTATGGAATGTAAAAACAGATATTAATAGGCTCACATTATCTTGCAAGATCAAAAATGACTTTTATTTTCTTGAAATATTTTAATATACTTTAATATACTTTCATTTCTTTATGATACAATAAACAATAAACATGTGCTTTTTATTTTGAGATAATATATTTATAAATTTTGTTTTTAATTTAACTTAATTTAATTTAATTTAAACTTGTTTATTATTGTTAATTTTGAATTTAACTTTTATTAATCTAAAATACATAAATTTTATATCGAAATATAAATTATATTGAACACAATTTTTCTTTTTTTTTAAATTAACATTATCAATTACATATAATTTATAATTCATAATAATGATTTTCATTGATATGGGATTGTAATTTGTAACTTTTGTTTCAGATTAATTAATATTAATTGATTGTGAACATTGCGAGATATGAAAAGTAATTAAAAAATAATTTAAAAATGATCAAATTAAAATTTGATACATATAATTTACTTTGTAATTTAAATAATATTAAATATTTTCTTTTGAGATAGATGAAATATTCGAATGTATCGATGCATAATATAAAACAGTTAAATATTAAAATCAATAGTATTCTTTTATAATCATATAATCACTATCATTTAATCATATTAATCATAGTTTTAACAAATAAATTGAAATATCTTTTTTTATCATATTAAATCATTAAATTAATAATATAATATTTAATTAAAATTTTATTTCAACAGAAAAACAATAATCGTATTATTTTCTTTCCATGAAATTATTATATTAAATAATTCGAGTTGAAAATTTACTAATATTATCACATTAATCAGTAAACAATAAAAATATTTTAGATTCGATTCATTATAATAAAATAATTTTTTGAATCAAAAAATGTTTAACAAATTACTTAATAGTTTTGCAATCTATAGTAACAATAATATTTATTTCAAAACTCATAATGAAAGATTGAAAATATTGTTAAGGAGGCCAAAGCATGTGGTACAGCTTTTACGTTCCTGGATCCTTCGGTTGAAAACGAGTAGCGAAACTGAAAAATTTCTATTCGAGATGGAAGAGAAACCAATACCGAAACCTAGATCGGTAATGTCTGAGCGACCAATACCAGCACCACGAAGACTACCACCATTGTTACCATCAGCTCGATGTAGTAGCTATGATAGTTCGAGTCAGTCGGAAAAAAGTGATGATGCGAAATCGATATCGGAAACACGAAGTACAAACAACGAATTTTTTCGAAATCTGAGCACCAGTTCGCGCCAATTGAAAGATGAAATATCAGAGAAAATGACAATGAAAGGCCGTGCAGTAATTTCGAGCACGAGAAATGCTAGCATTAGATTGGAGAAATCGGTAAAAAATCTTTTAACACGGCGATTAACTTCGTTAAATCAAGATGATATTATACGAGATAATTCAATCGTTAACAAGAAATTCAAAGATCCTGTAGAAGAGGAAAGATGCGTATCAATGCCAACTGATGATATTTTTAGCAGCATTTCATTTTACAGTCCTCTAAATAGTAATCTGAGAAGCATCAGAAATGAGGAGGATCTTTCCGGAACGTGTCACAACCCACCACCTCCTGCATATCCTCCTCCACATCCTGACGAATCTATCTACGACGAACTGCAATCTGTCACGTCGGGTAGCAGTCGATATGATACGATTAGTTCGACTATCTCTGACAAAGTCGACAGGGATTTTTCCGAATCGTTTGATCTCCTTAATTTCGCACTCAATCAGGTAAAAATAACGTTTAATAAAGTATTTATTTATTTGCGAATAATTTATATCACCAGAATAATTATTTCGATAGATCATTGTTTTTTTATTTATATTTTAATGTATTTCAAAATGAATATGTGAAAAATATAAAATAAAATAATTTAAATAATTATAAACATATTTCTATATTTTCCACAATAATGAAATATAAATTGTTATAAATGTTTATTAATTTTCATAATTGATATGCAACAAAAATAACAAAATAAGAAATAAAAATTATTTTCAAAAAACAAAAAAAGTTGTTTACTAATTAAAAATTATTTACTAATTAATTAATTTATTAATAATTAATTTTGTCTTAAAATTGCTAAAAAATTTAATCTGTAATTATAATATTACTTTCTTTCATTTAATTAGTGATATAATAATTAGTGATTTTTTTTTTATTTTTAATTTATAATATTATTAAAAATTACATTATTATTAAATTAAATTAAACAATAAATTATTTAATATTATATTTATAATCTCTATTCAAATTCTACTTGTTATTGTTATGAAGACAATAAATTCTGATCTCTACTCTATTGAGGATTTATCAAGAAAAATTTATAATCAAAAGAAACTATGAATTAATGTTCCTTAAACAACAAATAAAATCCAGTTGAATAAAGATTTCAAATAAAATAGTAATAGCTTAATAATAACTTATTAAAAATAATTAAAAAGCATTAAAACATAATTACTTCTTTATAATTATTTCTTTATAATATATGAATTATAATAAAATTATGTATTTATATGTCTTTATTGTCTTTTCTTTTATTAATTATTGTAACTACAATCTAAAATATTTTAAGAAAAAATTTAACATATATTATAACATACATTATACATTTTAGAAAAAGAAAAAGTTTTTATTTCTTGTTTCCTAATTTTTATTGTATATCACACAAAAATATATAAATAGTTTTTTCAATTTATGTTCTATTATTCATATATTAAAAATATAAGAATAAATTTTGAATAAATTTATTACACATAGAGATAAAAACAAAAATAAAAACAAACTTTATTTCTGATATATTTGAAAGAAAAATCAACATTTTTAAACATTTAAAAATATATTTGATAAATTTTTTAAAGTTTGAAATCATAATTTTCTTTTTTTTTTTAGTATTAATTTATCAATATCTAGCCAATTAATTATTTAGTACTCATTCAATTTCTAAAATTATTTTATTTAATTTAAATATTTAATTTTTTATGTATTCTATTCTTATATATAATTTCCTATTATATTTCTTCGTTATTGTTTTATAACATTTATTTTTTATATCATATATATATAACATATTTTTTATATATTAAATATTTTCATTTCTAAATTATTAAAAATCTAAAATATTTATACATAATTTTTGTATATACAATTTTATAATAAAAATAAATGATTTTTTTAAATATTTTATTATTTTGATTTATAATTTAAATAATTATTTATAAAAATAAGAAAAATAAATAAGAATTATAAGTAAATAAAAATTATTTGTAATTAGGAGTGTACGAGTATTTAAAATATCAAGTATCTTTCTTCTTTGGGAGAAGAACATCGGAATTGGAATCTTTAAAGTTT